GACTTATTGTTTCCATTCTGGTCATCCTTTTTAAATATCAGTGTTGAAAAAAAATGATCAGTTATTGAAATAATTCACGATTAATATAGTACTCAATAAATCGTTCAGTAGATTATACTGATTTAAAATTTTATATATATATAAAGCTCTATCCAAACCTTCTCCAGTTAGCAAATTGATGTTTTAAATTGAAATTTTGTTTAGCATAGTAATTTAAGATTCAGCACCATAATTACTAAGGGATGACTTGAATCGCAGTGACTTGAGCCACAGTAAAAAGCCGTGTCAAATCTTTTATTTAAAATTATTTAGGGAACTGCTGTTTCCTTTTCATGGATATATTATTGCAGCTCTTCTCTGTATGTGTCTATCTTATAGCTTCTTTCTATACAGCTGAGCTACTTTAACCTGTCTTTCTTGTTATTCAAGTTCTGCTTTAGGAATGATCTTTGGTAATATATTCAGTAGAATAGAAGTTTTGTGTTCTGTTTTTTGATTGTGCAAGTTTTGAACCACTTCTGTTGGGTTCTGGTGAACAAACAGTTTTTTTTTAACCTCACTTTTTTATAAACTAAAATAGCATAATATTGTTTTAAGTAAAAGACATGGATTTGTTATTCATCAATTGCTTTATGGTGCCACAACAAGTCTATCAGCTAAATACAGCTAAATCCATCCCAATAGTTTCCATGCTGATTAGGAGGCAAATATAACAGAATCATTAGACCAACTACCTCCTTAGGAGAAAGTTTAGTGGTTTCTCATACCTCATCAATAATAGCTTAGTTTATCCTGAGCTATCATTATACTTATGCTGCTATAGGCGTAGACTGCTGGAGAACATAGGGACCTCTTTTGCTCATTCTGCTTCATTCTATCTCTATTTTCCTTATCCAATATTTGTTAAAAATTATTTTTTTTAACCTTTTTAATATCTTAAAACACCCCTCTTTTTCATGCCAAACGTGGTATTTTGCTTGGTTCCTGCATGTCTGTCCCCATCCTGGAAAACGTGTAGCCATCACCATAGACATAGAGCAAAGATTACCCACCCTCAATAGGAAACACCTACCTTGAATGTGCAGCTTCTGCACAGTAAATAACACACCCACTTTCTCTGATGAGCAGCTAATCTACACAGTGACGGGTATTTTTTTTAACTGATGTCCAATTCGTGAAAAAAAAAAAAAAAGTTTTAGCTGTGATAAGTCTCTGTCTTTCTTCAGCCTTCCTGAAGAGGAGTCTAATCGCAAGAGCTGGCATGATAGGGTGACGTCATAAAATAGTCCCAGTGAAGGCGAGTGTCTTTCTCATACGTTGGAAGAAAATAATGGATCTTTCATAACAAATAGATGCTCTGTAGTCCCAAATGCAATTTTTCATTACATACATGGCTATGCTTGAATTCAGAAGGCTTAAAAAGCATGACTTATGATTATTACGAAAAACAGTATTGTGCGTATGACATGACTAACATGTTTTCTTCAGTTACATGTTTCACAATTACCATAACTGGTTGCATTATACGAAATGATTGGTGATGTTTGAGCATCAGTCATCTTCTTCATGTGTCCTAAATTTCATTTGTTGATTTTACACAAATACACTAGAGCAGGGGACTTTCTCTTCTACTCTGCTTGCCATCAGAGTGCAGTGCTGTTGCAAAATGTGACTCTCTTTGAGACTCACTCAAAAAATCCACTCTGCTCTCCTAATCTCTCCATGGTTACAACTAGCATGTTATAAAGATTCATTTGGGTTTAATTGATTTGGGGTCTTTGTAGATTAGGCCTATAGATTATTAAATACTTGCAGAGAGCTGCTATATACATTATAAGGTAGATTTATGGCCACCAAGGATTTGTTAAGGGCCACCATGTGTTTTATTAACACCTGGATTTAATATTTTTAAGGCCAGGATGCACTTTTTTAAAGCTTCTTTTGGTGTTTATTAAGCATGAAGTGTTAAATAGATTAAAAACCAACTCTGCAACTGAAACTTGCAGTTTAGTTAATTAGATGACAGGTGATATTTAATAGTATTTTGGTATTGTTCGGAATAGTTTTCCATGGATTTTGAGACGTCACATCTGAGCAGAAAAAAACTTTTTTAAGGGTATATTTTTGATCAGCAAGAATTCCATTGAGTGTGAGAGCAGAGTTAAAAGCAACAGCAGTATAAAAGTCAAAATATGAATTCTGCTTTTAAAATGAAAATGTATGCTTTCATTTTTTGTAAGACATTTCTCATGCTCTTCAAGCTGTTAAGTGATTACTGAGGCTCTGGCAGACTCACAGCAGGCTGCCTGTAGGTGTCTGCTAACAGCCAGCTGTCTCGCTTAAGGTTTCCGCCTCTTTGCATTTTCTTAGAACTCAAAGCCACTTGTTGTTTTTCACGACAGGTGAGCGTGATTGCACTTTATGGAAAGGGATGAACATGCCTTCTGTGGAAGCAAGATTTTTCTTACACAACACTCCACCAGACGCAGTAGCAGTCACTCTCAGAAACAGGGATTTTATAACACCCATCTAAATACAGAGAGAAAGACGGTAATGGCCATTAGATTTAAAGCAAACTGGTCCTGGCACAATATACAGGGCTGTTTTTATGTTTTTGTTCTCATTTTAGTTCATCTATTCAGATGTTTACAAGTATGGATAATTCATCTGTAAGATTGATTCATACCCAGATATGACTTTCAAGATTAACTTATGTGACCGTTACTGACAAGTACCGGTACCAATTTCCTGTATCCTGTGATGCCTGACCTGTTGATTTATCTTGGCTCTTTTCACATGGAAATTCTGTCATTATTTAAACTTAGTTAAACGGAGTCCAACATTTTCCCAATTCAGGCTTTAAATCACACGGTTCCATGGGGTGACGGTGACGTCGGATGTAGGAGTTTGTTCAAGCCCTGGCTCCGGGTTTCAGTGTAGTTGTGTCCTTGAGCAAGACACTTCATCCGCATTGTCTGCTGATGGTGGTCAGAGGGCCCAGTGGCGCCATTGTACAGCAGCCTTGCTTCAATGTAGTTTGCCATCATCAGTGTGTGATTGTTTGCGTGAATGGGTGAATGACTAAATGTAGTTTAAAGCGCTTTGGTCTAGTCTGCTGACTTGACCAAAGCGCTATACAGTACAGTACAGTACAGGCCATTTACCATTTACCATGGAAAAGACAACAAACAAACTGAATTTATTTGACAAACTAAACTAGTGCATAAATGTGAAGTAGGGGAAAAGTCATTGCTAAAGGAAAACAGAAAACTTTGGTGTTATTTATATATTTATATATACATATATATATATATATATATATATATATATATATATATGTATATATATATATATATATATATATACATATATATATATATATACATATATTTGTCAGTAACCTCATATGTACCTTTTCTGTTATAGCAAAGCATATTTTGATGATACGTCTTACAGTTACATTCAATGGCATGCAAGAAATTATTTTTTTGTTAACTCACTCAGTACATAATACAGCCGGCACAATAACTTAAAATCTACTATATAATGATGTACCTTTCTTAACTCTACGTATTGTAAAAACATATTCAGCCCTTTATGTTATTGAAAGATCCACTTCGTAAAAGAGAAAACTCAGGGTTTTCAGAAAATGGCCTCTTATAATTAATCATTAGTCCATCGAAAAGATTAATCAATATTCAATTAATTCATTAATCAATTCTTTGCTTTATTTTCTTTTACAAATTTGAAATTGCATTTAGGTTTAGATTTTGACCAAGCAGAAATTAGTGCTTAATTTAATATGACATAATTAAAACTCACCATTAGCATGAATCACACATGTTTCTGCCCAAACACTTTCTTTTCGGTGTAGGTCTTTGTAATAGGGATAATTAGGATAATATAAAATTGCTTTGTTCTGTACTTCCAAACTCAGTAATCTTCATCCATGCCTGCGATAGGGAGTTTGTTTTGAATTTGTCAGATGCGCTCTTGGAAGTTGTGACTGCAATTGATTAAACTTTTAAGCCTATCTGTATAAAATAAATATTTTGATCGAGATGAGAAATGTGCTTCCTGGTATGTTGAAATACCAATAGATTGCATCAAATAATTTAATGGAACGCTCTTAGTTTTTGGGAATATATAAGAATTATGCTCTAATTTGTAGTTACCGATCTATCGTTACCATATTTTAATTTGACAAACCAGAACTTCTCAACATTCTTTTTCCTGTTTGGTGTGATCGCAATTGCGGATCTTGACCTGGCCGGACAGGAGCGGAGCAGAAAATAGCTTGGCTCTGTATTTTGATGGGAAGGACGGAGGAGACGGATGGCAACGTGCGGAGTAGTAGTGTTGGATGTTGAACAGTAATCATTGATTAACATGAATGCACAAGTGCTCCGCACGACGTACGTAAGCAGGCTGGAGTGGAGTGGAACGGAGCGGAGACAGAGGATGCAGAATCTGGGGGTTACATGCCGATTAGGGGTGGTTGTTCTGCTGGAAGCTGAACCTTCAGTCTAAGTTCTACTGTAGCCTCTAAGAGGTGTCTCTGCTTTCAGCTCTATCCATCTTCCATCCAGTCTTACCAAAAATCCCTTTTGTTCCACTTCACAACAGTTCACTACTTTATGTTGATTTGAAATATACAAGTTTGTGATTACAAAATTAAAACATTAGACAAAGTAAAGCTTTCACATGGCTCTGATATTCCCTAACCTTCATCTGAAGTTAAATAAAAGTAAAAGTAATTAAGGGACATGCAGGGAAATAATTTGAATGCTTTATGCTTTTAAAAACAGAAAAAAAGTCAGGCTTTTGACTTTTGAAATGTTTTATACATGTAAAAATAATCCAATATTTCTTTTTTGACTCTTTAACTATCAGTCAGATCTACCCAAATTAACGTAGATGAATGGCTATTATAAACGTAGTGAATGGTTAACAAATTAATGAATAATACACTTTCTTCATACTGTCCTTGTGTTTTGCAGGCCATGGGAAGAACCATAAGGATGCAGCATCAGTGCGAGCCACACACCCAATCCCTGCCGCCTGTGGGATCTACTACTTTGAAGTGAAGATTGTCAGTAAAGGTCGAGATGGGTAAGCAGAAACAACTGGGCTTGTATCCTGTATTACCACAGCAACAGCATTTTTACCCTGGAACCATAAGGACACTCATGAATTTTAATTGAATAAATGTATTTTACATTTGCTTTAGCCCCTACAGACTGCTCGATGTAAGGATTATGTTGCTTTACTTCCTCTTTTCTTTTGTGTTCAATTAGAGTTGGGGTTTTTTTAAGTAGTCAAACAAACACACTTTTATATTCACTTTATCGCACCATCTTTATTTTTACTGTTAAACCTGTTTTGCAATTCCAAACATCCAATATCTGTAACAAAACCCCATTTAGGCTGGAACAAATTTAGTTTGTCCACTTGATTTAATTCAAAGTGTTGCTCTGGGGAAAGAACTGAACTGGCTCCGATGTAATCATTAAAAGGATTCCTTGTCCTCTTTTCATTACAGGGGCATCAGTGTAAAAATGTATGGGTAACATATATATCTATATATCTTATTCCGTTTATTTACACAGCACCTATTCACCTCAATGCATTTTACAGAGTCATTTCAATCAAATTATACTAACAGACTGTTTAAAAACCTTCTATCTGAGTAAGTTTAGTTGCATTGATGTAATGGCCAATACCCAATGTTCACAAGTATATTTTTGGGTAGTTTGCCTTAATGGCTCAATGATTTTAGACCATTACTGAAATGCTACACATAAATGACAATAGGATGGATATAAAGATTTGAAATAATATCACAAGGTTTCCTCTAGGAATATTTTAGAACCCTGGTGGTGGTCTGAAGGGGGCAGTGACTAAGTAACAATCAACTATGTCAATGTTGTTAAAAAACCTTGTTAAAATACAGCAAATGTTAACCTTGAATTTTTGAATACAATGCAAATCTACACTGCCTACATCTATTTTGACCGTAATCAGAGAAACACCCATTATGAGGTGTGTTGTGTTCACCTTCTGATCAGATGAGAAAACTTTTATTAACTGAGTCTTTTACCTGTTTTATTAGTTAAAGCAAATGTCAGAGTTTAAAGGTATAGTGGAGGATTTTCGCGAATTTTAGAAAAGACCCGATGAGGGAACGCTCATCAAACACGTGCAACACCATGCACAATCCCATTTTTACTTGTGCATGCTCTGTTTAAAGTTGCTTTTTGCTTCGCTCATACAAGCCTACTTTCCAAAAGAACATTTGCAATTTTTCCACTATGTCAGACTCGAGCACGTATGACGGCCTTACATAAACATATCATCAGAATGACTGACGATTAGGAGGACCACTTATTTTGATGATCCTCCTGAAAAAAGAACGTCGTCCACTATACCTTTAACTGACTGCACTGGACAAAAAAAACAAAAAAAAACCAGTCCATTTAAACTGATTTGTTGATTGGCTGTATGTTTTGTTTTAGAAGAAAGGTAAACTTTACAGATGTAGATTTGAAGTGAAAATAGGACGACTCAAAAGTTGGCAGATTTAGCTGTAATCTCTTCCTCATCAAATCCGAGGGACAAATCTGTCACTGGAGAGTCTATGCTCACCGAAAATCCAAAGCTTCTTCCTAACAGAACCAGAATCATCATAATGTGGAGGTTGACCCAGTTTTATACAGAGAGTAACCCAAATCTGGGTCAGATGGCCAGTAGACCTGTCTACGCTGTAGACAGATAATGATTAAATATTTAATTTGAAGTTGCTGATCTCTTCCTGGTTTTAAGATCTGTAGGTCTTTCAAAAAAGAGCACACTTTTCATTTTCTAAAGCCTTTATTTCTTCTTTTTACCATTAAATCATTGAGGACATGGATTGATGAGGTGTTTGAGGTCATGACCTGCCCACATAACAGTTTATTTATTGCATTATCTGGGTTACAGTTTTTAAAAACAACACACATAATCAGAGTTTCACATTAAATTCAAGTTTTCATTTTTAAGCTGAATGTCAAGCTAAGGAAAATACAAATGTATATATACTGTGCCAAGTTTTAAAAATTTGAGACATTTTTTTTCCATCTTGGACAAACAAGAGACAGAAGACTAAAAAAAAAAAGATCTTTAGACAATAGGAAATTTATTCATAGGATATAGCAGGTTTGTTGAGGTCCATATGTCTTGATGAGAATCTCCAATGAGCCACACAGAAGGAAGTTGATAAACCCAAAAATAATTGAAAAGTACTCAAAAAAAAAAAAACTCATCTTAAGGCACCTAACAAAGAAACAGCATTTCATTTAAAATCATTAAGACAGATTAGGGTCAAGCTTACATTTCAACTTATTCTAGTTTTCAGAATATGCAGTTATATTCAGTTTGTTATACAGAATGGTTAAAAAAATATCTCCATGGAAATCTGGTAGATTGCATCGACTCATTGACTTAAGAATTTACTCCTCTTGGATAACTGTGCAGCATTAGTGGAGAGAAAAATCCCCTTTAGCAGGAAGAAACCTCCAACTGAACCATAACCTGGATCAGTGTGAGCGGCCATTGACACCAGATGGGAATTTGAGAAGACAGAACAAATACAGCCATAAAAAGAATTGAAAAAAAGACAGCACAAAACAATGAATCAGGTATGTTTGTGGCAGTAGTAGTACTTATAGTGGCTTCATCTAGAGGGGAAAAAAAAGCTAAGCAAATGAGCTTTGAGTCAGTTTTCAAGTCCATAAGATGAGAGACAGCAGATAAAGTTAGTCACAGCAAAAGCTCAGCCAGAAGGTATATCTGAGAGAAAAAGACAGTGTTAACCATTAAAACATGGGACCAAAGTGGATCATCTATAAGGAACATGAATGGGTTAGCAGCAGCAGCCCAGACCATGAAGCATCACAGCTAAACACAACACCAGGCTGCAGGTGGCTGCTATGAAGAGAGGGAAGCAGAGATAGAACAACATGTTTAAAGATGAACAGGAAATAATGCAAATTAGAGTTGTCTGAGAATGTTGCAGGGAGAGGGCAGCAATGTGTGCGGGACACTCGTGAGGAAGGTAACCAGAAGCCATCATGAAAATATATCAGGTGACTCTGGATATGGAGGAGCAGCAGGTCTACTCCAGATGACCAAGCTCCTCACCCTATATCTCTAAGGGACTTCCCAGCTACAGTACCCTGCAGAGAAAGCTAATTCCAGCTGCTTATATCCACAATCTTTTTCTTTCAGCCATGATCAAGACTTCATGACAAAAAGTGAGGGAAGAACCATAGCTTTTTCTATTCACTTCACCACAACAGACCGGTGTAGCCTGTGCATTATACTTACAGCTGCCCTGATCAATCTATCGATTTCTCACTCCATTCTCGCTTCACTCATGAACAGGATCCCAAGACACTTGAACTCCACCACTTAAGGCAGGAACTCCCTTCCTCTTTGAAGGGGCAAGTCACCTTTTTCTGGTTGTGATCATGAACTTGGAGGTGCTTACTATTATCAAGGGCCCTTACACCTGTCTGCGAACCACCTGAGGGCACACTCTAGGTCTTTGCAGATGACATGGCGTTCTTCAGAACGCCATGTCATCTGCAAAAAGCAGGGAAGTTTGCTTGTTACCAAACCAAACCCCTTCTGACTGTAGCTGCCTAGAAATCCTGTCCATTAAGCTATCAAAAGGAACGGTGACAGAGACCGTATGGCTCCTAATAAAGGGTCCCCGACTCTGCACACCTGGAGTCCCCCCCTCAAAAGACATCCTCGTCACAACACCATGTCTTCTCCAGGTCCAAAAAGCACATGTGGACCAGTTAGGCACACTCCTATGAACCCTGCAGAGGATATAGAGCTGGTCCAGTTTTCCAAGGTCAGGACAAAACCACACTGTTCCTCCTGTAGCCGAGGTTCAACAATTAGCCAGACTCTCCTCTCCAGCAATCCCATATAGGCCTCTTACAAAATCTACCTTAAAATCGAGGTCCTCCGCTAGTTGGGCAGATTCCTTCTGATGGGACACTGCTGGGCCATGCCCAAAGGAAGGTAACAAGGTGATCCCCCAGTGGACGCACCACCTAAAGAGGGAACCATGAGGGACCAGCACAAAGACGATTGGGCAGCAGCCACAGGCAGAAGACCTGGCGACGTCATCCATGGACACTGATGAGCCTTTGGTGTCATACTGATATTTACTGAAGTTATCTCTGTGATGATCTCTGTCTGAGTTGTTTAGATTTAGCAAAAAGCTTTTTTAGCAAAAAGCTTATTCTTGTTTTTTTTCAGTGAGAATACTAACAGCCTGTCCTCTAACAGTTTTGAAGAGCTCTCCGCTGACCTCTCAGCTTGTGTAATAGCAACAACTTTTAATGTTTGCCCTCCCCAGGAGGCAGCTTGCTCTGCAAACAATAGGAGCTCAGAGACGTCATGTTCACAGCTCCTTCAGCCTCTTACTCATCAGACACGAGCTTTATCTGAATATTTTGTTCCCCGGTGAAAGACGGAGAAGGAGCTGCTCTGAATGTAAACACTTGGTGATAAGTAAGAAAAATCCTTCTTCCTGTTTTTCTGCAGGTACATGGGCATCGGCCTGTCTGCACAGGGAGTCAACATGAACAGACTGCCTGGTGAGTACCCTGGGAATTATGCCTCTAACAATACCAGTAGGAAGATGGAAAATAACACATCCATATTGGGATAAGATTATTGATGAAAGGTCAACCAGATGGTCTGGCATGAAGGTCACCTCAAATAAACATGGGGCAAGATTTTATGATGGCATTGTCTAAACATAATATTGGCTCTCTGGGCCTGAGCCAGGATATCAGCAACGTCGGCTGGCTGGCCAGAAAAACATCCTCTTCTTTTGTTCCTTTCTAGTCCTTCACAGTGCAGTCTGCACTGCACAATTTAAAAAAAACAGAGGCCGCCCCAAACCTCGGCCCTGAAATCTTAATTACTTTTTTGGGCTGTAACTTCATCAGCTCAGATTACAATCAAGCATTGTAGCCTAAACTTCAGAGAACAGGGGGGCTCTCATCAGTGTGGCAACTCTGGGAAAGTGCTGAGTATAAACTGTTGGTCATTGTTTTCATTCAGGGCGTTAAGATTTTTAGAGCTAAAGTCAGTGGTGCTTTTAAACTGTGTGCAGGTGAATTAAAGACACTGAGGCAGATCAAGTGTCTAAATTCATTAGATTTGGGAGAAGAAGGGGGTTTGTGTGAATGCTTTTCAATAACTGCATGTCATTGGTAGAATAAATCGTTTGACAGCCACAGAGAGAACATGTTTGGGCATGTCACCATCCCCAGAGGTCCCATGGATTAGTGACAGATGATGTGAACTGCAGCTCAGAGTGTGACCTCATACTAATCTGATTTAAGTCAAACTGCTTTTAGCCTCTTAAAAAAAAAAATCACATTTTATATCAGAAAGGAATAACTTTAAAACTCATGTATGAGTAACCAACCAGTTAATTAGATTAGTTCGGCAAATGCAGTACTTCTAAAACTCTGACAAATAAATAAAAAACCTTGGAAATAAACATGGAAGCCCAAAATTGTTTGGCACCTTTCTCTTAATTTGACCTAACAAAAATCTTTAAATCTTGTGACTTATTGGCAAGTAAAAGATAAGTGAATAGAATATATATGAAATGTACTTATTTTTAATTTTTTTTGCTCTATTGAAAACTATTTTTGTTTATAAATACTGCTTTGCTATCTCCCTTGCACACCTCAGCCCAAGTTCACCCTATTTCAACTTTAGGTTATGCACATAGGGCCAATAGAAACCAGGACATCTAGTCATAAGCTGGAAAAAGCAAGAAACAAAATAAAGGAGAAGTTAAAACTGTGCATGTGTGAAATCTCCAAGTTTGCAAATTTGGAATTAATCATAAAGCCAGAATTCTTCAGCCTGCCACTGGGAATTTGTTCACACGCAGTCTCTTCTTCCTTTTCGCTATTTTTTTTTCTATCATTTTCTTCTAACTAGTTAGGCTAGTGCTAGCACTTTGCTGTTGACCACCAAGGAACACCTGCTAGTTTAGCCAGGCCAGCACTAAGGCTTTGAACGAAGCTTAGTTCAAATCTTGCCCTCTCTAAAAGGGCTATTACTCTGCCCACTTCTAATATTTGAAAAATGCGACTGAATGAGGCGGGCCCTGGTGGGCAAGGGAAGTGCACGGGTTAGGGCCTGGGCATTGTTCAGTAAGGTAAAAAAAAACAAACAATACTCTTCTCTTTTTTTGCCGGGAAGTGGAGACCTAGTAGTTAGGGCACAAAGCTTGAAATCTTGAGGTTGTGAGTTCAAAACTCACTCCCAAAGACTGCCACTTCAGATCCTTAACCCTTAATTGTCCCCCGCCCCCCACAATGGCAACTCACTGCTCCCCAAAGGGATGGGTTAAATGCAGAGGTAAATTTCTCCAATGTGAGATCAATAAAGTTCAATTATTAATATTAACTAAGCTAAATACTTAAGCTAATAAATCACTAACCTGGTCAATGGTAAAAAGATCTCAAACCTCATTATTTAAAATCCATATGTATTAATGGGTTAAGGTGTGAAGCTATGATCCTACAAATGCAAAGACATTTCAACACCTATCCAGGAGTCTTGTCAATATTGTTAGCCCAAACAAAAAAAACAGAAACCTGGATAGGTCCGTCTGCGAAAGTCCGATTTACTTCCAATATAAGCCTGTTTGTGGTTGCCATGACTTGCATGACTGAGAATTTACACATTTTGATCCTATATGATCTTGTAATCAGTCCTGTTTCAGAGCTTTCTGCACTGCTATAGAAACCAGAGAAACCTAGTTCAACAGTTCCACAAGGACCACCCAATCTCCTAAAATCTTTTTTTCAAGAATCAAGGCTGATTTATACTTCGAAACTAGGTCGTCTGCGAAGGTGTTGCAGTGAACGCAAAGACGTCCCCGCCCCCTCCGAAGACACTCTGTTGCACCTCACGCAAATTGTAGGTGACCGCAGACAGGAGGCCGGCTTTTTTTGTTTTTATGACCGCAATTGCGGAAAACAACTCATGAAGTTGGACCAGCTAGAAGAGCGAGGTGCGTGAGAATGCTGGGACCCTTTTTCCACCTGGATCCCCGCTCTTTTTCACCCTCATGTCACTCCGTTGTCGCACAAACTTGCCTCCACTTTCTCACCGCCTCGGCCGTATCTAGACCCACAGCGTATAGCGCAGACCACGCTCAAAATTGAGCATAAATCAAAAATGTCTCTGTCAAACTCACTGCTGCAGGGAGTATAACCAGCCCTTAATACTAGAACGGATGGGGAAGCGATGGACTGACAGATGGACAAAGGGGATGGACTAAAACCTGCTCTGCCTTCATTTATTAAAATTATTTTTAGTAGCTGGTTTTCCATCACAGATGGTCTGTTGCCCTGGTAGACAGATTACTGTCAATTACCCTAACTCAGTCTGACCCAGTGTGGTTGCATATAGCAGCATGTATCGCTCCCAAACTCAACAGATATATGTCACTATTAAATTGAGGACCATCTGTACCAAAGTGAGGACATTTTGCTGGTCCTCATTTGTTTTTGTTTTTTTCTAACCTTCAGGTTAAAGGATTTAGATATAGGTTATAGGATTGGGGGAATTTATTAAATTTTAATACAATCATGTGGCACTAAAAAAATTCAGTTGTCAAAAGAATTTTTCATGCCCAAGTTGTTTAATCTCAGATTTAATGTGTGGAAAATAGTGATGTAATTTGATTTAACCATAAAAATGTAAGCTTTTTTTTATTTTATTTTTACTCTTTTTGTAAAACTAAATATAAAAACAAAGGTGTGTTCTCTTGCTGTGGGAAAAGTTGAGAAATTGTACTCCAAATAGCTTACTATTAACTTTCTAGCAGAGAATCTCTACTGCCCCGCTCCATAAATAAGTGTGGTACTGAATTGGAGTGAAGTTAACTGACCAGGAGAAAACAGAATTAAATGATGTTTTGCTGCATGCTTAAAAACCATTCACACCGAAAAGGGGAATAGTAAACTTAAAAGTAGCAATAGAAACTTGGATAGGAACTAGAAAATGCAGGGAATTAATATAAATCAGTTTTATTAAAGAAACTATCTCTAAAATCTCTAATATGCTCAGGTGTGGGTACCCCAGACCTGAGCATATTAGCAGTTGTTCTTTATGTCCTCTGCTTAGAATTTTTAAATAAAGTAACATGTCTGATTTCAAAACCACAGGATCTCTTTAGATCCCTAACCAGATAGCACTCTCCTAAAGGATTCACACAGCTGTTTAGATTTCACCATGATGGTAACTCTTTACTTCAACAGTCAGATGGCACCGTACTACATATCTTAGCCTTAAAACAGGACAACCCTTCTCCAAATTACTGAGTTATGATTCTTTAATCATGGACATGTGATTTTTTGCAACTGTGAGGGTTCCATTTTATAAGTTGGCCATAACTTATGTTATATAGAGTAGATTATTTTCAAATTGCATTAATCAACAGAACTCCTCTGCTTCCCTTTCCACCCAGTTGATTTTAGAAGCATCTATAAAATTCTGTAATAAATCACAATGTAAAACATGTAAAGAAAAGAAATGCCAACCAAAGAAATTTCATTACTTTCATCCAGAACTCCCTTTTCCTTAGACTGTTCTCCACTACTGACCTCTGTGTGTGTGATTGTGCTGTGGAGGCTTGCCCATTTCATTAGCATGTTGGAGCAGTGAGCCTGGCTTTAGAGGCAATATCCCTGTCAGCAGATTAATCTAATACCTCTCACAAATACACACACACACTTAGACGGAGAGGGGTATAGTCACATAGGGGACAGCAGAACCCATGGCGAGAGGAAGGACAATATGTACCCAAGCACAAAGGAAAACACCACTGTACAGAGAACATGTGAATACAAACATGCTTTTCAGCTTAGATTAATACTTTAGTACATGCTTACAGGTTCATATTTGCACATATTCAAGTACGCAGCTAAAATCTGTGTTGTCCAATGACCTACTTTTCCTAACCCTGCTTTGCTTTTTTTGTCAACAATGCGCCTGCAGCAGATGAGGTCAAATGCTGACAGAGTGAGCACAACGCCTGTGGCTTCAGGTCGCCTCAAACTCCAGACGATTCACGAAGAAAAATTCCTTCAAAACTCGATTTAGTGTAGAACTTTATTCCAAACCAGTCAGAGGGACGGTCTGATGTTGGCAAATTGAATAGGTTCCTCGTGCTGCAAGGAAATACTCCTGCAGATGTCAGAATGCTGTTTATCACATAGATAATGAATCAGTTCATCTAACTTTAACTGTTTAGTTTGGATTAAAAAAACAAAGATTGTTCTGGTTTTACTCGGATAGGCTTAAGTTTATTTCATGGTTGGAGGTGGTGGCAAAATCAGTGTGTCTAGTTATGTCTGTACTTTGTAAGATTGGTTTATAAATACATACAAGTTTATTTTAGGCTAGATTACACGTTTATGTTTAGCCATAAAGTACTCTAGCTGCCGTTCAGCTACAAACTTAACTCTGCTCAGAAAACAGAATATTTGTGTATTTTTTTAAGATAATGTATTTAGTTTGTTTTCTGAATGTGGCAGTATTACTTAATCTGCAGCAGATTTTTGCACAAAAAAAAATGTTTTTTGCATGTTTAAGCATGTCCTTATATGTTCTATTTGTGAACATTAGATTCATTTCAAATATTTATTGAGTTACACCAGATTTCCAAAAAATTGATAATAATGAAAGAGATCTTTGTTGTCCAGATGTCTACTGCAGGTGAGCTTATACCCAGCAGCTGCAGACAGGCCAAGCTCTGCACTGGTGGCAACTATAGTCCTGTCGGTTCTTGCTGGATCCAAAGCAGAGATCCTGAAGCCAGCTTGGATTTTCTCAGCAGTAGTATCTTGCAGCTGAGGCCATTTTGATAATGAGGCTGGAATCCATCTGAAATCTTGTGTATTACATATATTGTATTTGTAATTATCAACAGTTTGTCAACATTGTATCAATGAAGCTGGACAGAAAAGAACATGAGTTAAAAAGCCTCTAAACTGCCAACATTTGCATGTAAACAACAGTAGGAAGAAATACTGTCAGGACACAATGACATACTCCTTTTTGGGTTCTGGCTTTGGTTCTGCCTCCTGAGCTGTTGTTCCTGTCAGCAGTGACTCACCAGTTTCTTTTCTTAGACAAAGTCCTCCTGCTGGATGTCCAGGGCACTGCAGGCCGCTGGCGCACGCAGAGAGTGTCTGTGTTTGTGTGAATTTTCATAAGTTGCCCTGCAGCAGCAGCAGCAGTCAGATGAGGAAAATCTGAGTCGATGAGTAACCACTTCCAACCCCCTCCCCTTCTGCAGTTTATTTCCCGTTCAGATTTATACCCTGCTATTACTAGTTATTTCAGTTTTTGGAATCATCTTTATTTATCATTGTATTTTATTTTATTTTTTACTATATTCTTTTCTTTAATTTTAACTCATCCCTTTTGAAACAGTGGGCTGCCGCTGTGGGATTTGTACAAGAGAACTTGTAGCACTCCCAGCCCTCCTTTTAGCAGAAGGCTACCACCACTAATATATAGAGATACATAGGAAACAATGCTCAGTAGAAGCCAGCACTGTTGTTTATTGAAAAGCAGCTTTTTCACAGGCCCAAGGTACAAAATCTGACCTCCATCTTTATCTTCTTTAAGGATGGGACAAGCACTCATATGGTTACCATGGAGATGATGGCCACTCTTTCTGCTCCTCTGGGACGGGCCAACCGTATGGGCCGACGTTCACCACGGGTGATGTGATTGGCTGCTGTGTCAACCTCATCAACAACACCTGCTTTTACACCAAAAATGGCATCAGTTTAGGTTGTCCCCCAGTTTGCTTTATTGGCTCCATTGCAGTTTGCTTTAATGAAAGAATTACAAACTTTTACCTTCTATCTGCTTAATTCCTGCAGGTGTTGCCTTCACGGACCTTCCTGTAAGTATTAAGAAACATTCAACTTAATTTACTGTAGTAATCCCACTTCCAACATTAATAACATTTTAAAATCCCAGATAAAAACGTCAACCTAATAGCACTGTTGGAGACTTTCATTCTCAATTTTTGAATTTTTTTTCTCAAAAATTTAAAGAGCTTGGCTCACCCTTCTTTATTTGTAGTCTTTGATTAAATCTTACTTGATCTCTCAAGATATCCCCTACATGTAAATTATGGTGAGGTTATGGTTGTAGGCCAACAGCTTTCTCTGTAAAATGGAATCTGCTGATAGAAAATGCAAAGAGCGTCTTTATATCCATTTATATCCTGTCAGTTAAAGACAGCTTAGAACTATTGATCAGTGTGATTCAAAGATAACGTTTAGTATTGCTGGTCTAAGAGATTTTTTTTTAAAGTAAGATATATTATTACAGAATTATATATGTTTATCATAGGGATGTCTCAATCTGATATTAATATCATAAAACTGTCTGATATAAGCCAAAAGACATAAACCAGAATTTATTGGCCTGCATGTAAAATCTTCGATAGAAGGAAGGTGAGGGAAACTCTTTTCTTTTGTTTAAAGTTTATTGAACCCGTTAGTTTATAATGCACAGGTCAGTTGTTCTCATGCCTATTGTTGATAATTAGTGATTTCTGTATGAGTATCATCACTTAATCAAGCCTTTTCTAACAGTCCACACTAGAAATTAAGTTATAAAACAATGCATGATCCATGCTGATATGGTGTATTCGGTCTATAACAGCATTGGTCAGCACTCAAAGCTGCTACTAGGGGTATAAATCACACTCATCATGGCAATTAGATTCAGTATCAAATTCCTAACCCAATGACTCGATTATTTTCGATACTAAAGAATACACCACGATATGATTCGATTCGAATAATTGGTTAATTTTCTTTTTTTTACCTTTCAAGCCAGACAATGTTTCAAATTTGAAATAAACCAGTGAAAGCTGTAAAGGCGTTTTATTTAAGAAACAACAGCAAATAACAGAAGTAGCAAAGTTGTACTCCACCTAGGCCTATGAAAACCTCATTCACCGAAAAATAATAATGCCTCTGTGTTTAAGATTCTGAAAGCCCATGAATCAAAAAATACTGCAAGTGAAAAGAGGGTAGTGGCTAAAACGAAGCAAGGTAGGAGGGAAAAATAGGTTTAGCACCACCTCAGCACGGGAGTCAGAATTACGCCCAGGAGCAAATGGATAAAAATAGACCAGTGGGGAAAAAAAAACATGAATCGATACTCTTTCGGAGGTGTCGATATATTGGATCATTGGCTGTTGGATCGATGCAACGATACCTAAAGATTATTATTTTCACCCCTAGCTGCTACATTTGTACTGAATCATAAATAAATATGTTTTGGATCGGTACATCCCTAGTTTTTTTTAATATTTTAATAAAAATCCTTGCCTTGATTTTTAGCTTTGACCTTTTAAGAACCTCAGATGGGAGTTAGATAAAAGTTTTGCTTAATTTGTGTATTGATACATTTATAAAGCTTTGCAATGACAGCAGTGCAACTCTGCAGCCAGGTTAAAAGCCTTTTTTTCAATGACTTTTTAGATCCAGACTCTAACAGTCAAACAGAAATATAAGGATTTCTTTAAAAGGTATTTAAAGTGTCTATGGAAATAAATGATGGTCATTATGAGTTGTTTTTTAAAGAATCTCCAAAACCACAGAATATAGTCCAACCACGACACGCTGACCCTTCATGGAAAATGCTTCTTTAAAAACTTTTTTAAATGACCCAGATGACTCATGCTCTCACTCATGGGTTTGTACTAATTATCCCAGAGTTTGAAAAACCAGTTTCGAGACTCAGAGCTCTAGTTTCTTTTGCTTAATTGTGTATAAAACGGGGCTCCTTTGGTTTATGTATCTTTTTCTTGTGCAGGAAAGAAACTCCAGCCCAAAATTGAGCTAAGAAAGAGACTGGTATGATGTCAGCTGTCATTGAATTTAGATTTCTGTCTTTATTAGGGGAAAAAAAAAAATCAAGTTTGAAATTCTTTCTTTCCTTTAGTTTAAGATAAAATTTAAAGTAACTTTTAACCCAATTATTAGCTTAACTTGAGATATATTAAATGGTTTTTCAGGCAAAGATACATCATTTGGCACGTATCAATGCTCTGTGCTGGCTGCCCTTCTCAAAAACTCACATGAGAGGGTGAGAGCCGTCACTTAAAGAGTCATGTGATCAAGAGTGCCGCTTTATTGCAGTTTAAGCTCCCTTACAAAATTAGGGCTAACACTAAAAAGTAGGTAATTTCCAAAAAATAGAAAGACATTATGACAATAACCTTATATAGATATATTTTATATAGATATATTTTCGGTTCTCTGGTGTAGGATGTAATCAAGATGTATGAATGTGGCCTTGTCTTTACAAGTATCTCCTTGACTTTGAATGTTCAGCATTGTAACAGATCAATATTAGTCTTTTGTTCAGGCAAGCTAAAACCGGAGGCAAGTCTAGTGCCCCTAGTGGCTAAATGTTACACAGTGTTGCTTTAATACATCATTAGCTCAAAACAGTCCAGGGCCCAACAAGTAGGAGGCAAAAAAATAGGTAAAAGAAAAAGTAGATTAATGTTGTCACCTATTTTGAGCATGTATAAACACTCTGTTGGGAGGGTGTGATGATTTACTGATCCTTGCTGTTAGCAGTCCTACAATATTCTTAATGTTGGGCAGTTAGACATATACGCTAGTTAATGGTGCAAGTGCAGCAATCCTGCTGCTGTGCTGGCTGTAATGAAAAACATGTAATCGAGAAAATGAATAATCTATAGTTCTTAAGCCAAAGTGACCTATTCAACTCCTGCGTGAATAAGCTACTATCCAGAAGGAGGTACACACGCCTCCGAATTGTGCAAAGGTTGGTTTTCTAAAAAAGCCCTGGCATTTTATTTTGTGATGAAAGTGCACTGCCATTCTGTTTCAAGTTTAATAAATTACTTTTTAGGTGATAAGTAAAAGCATTTCCATATCCTCCTCCAAGTACTTTGCATGTTCTGATGATCAGCATATGTTTTTCTAAATTATTAAGGCAACTGTTTAAAATGTTCTGCTCCTGCGGTTCTGCTCGTTTTAGAGACACAAATCATGTGCGCATCCGTTTATTAAATCACCTTTGCGTGTGCTAATAAGTTAGCACACGTTTTTATACCAGCAAACATTTAATAGACCAGAGCTATATTTACAGTAAAATAACCTTTACAGAAGCTGCAGCACCACTTCCACTGATTGAAAATACAGCTTTTGTTTCCTCCTTATCAGTAGAGCTAAAACTGATGATAGAGGTGGAGAAACCTCCCATATATTACATTGCTAAATTTTTCAACAATGTTAGGATCTATTTTAGTGCTGATATGATACTTGTTGCTATTGCCTTGTGGTTGTAAGAAGTAGCAGGAAGAATTACAGCCAGAAAAACGTTCACTGAGAAGTAGCCTTTTGAATGAGGACTTTGTTTTGGTGATATGGTGCTACACGAAAAAAAAAAAAAAAAATACAGTTTGGGTTAAATTACTTGTTTTATATCAGTTCCTGAAGTTGGTAGCAGAAAAAAACGGTTTCTAAATTTAGACAAATACTCAACGTCCTGATTGAGTTTGGATCCTTCTCACCCACTACTATATGAAACTCTTCCAGCCTAACCTGTATCCCACCGTGGGGCTTCAGACGCCAGGAGAGATTGTAGATGCAAACTTCGGCCAGCAGCCATTTGTCTTTGACATCGAGGACTACATGAGCGAGTGGAGGGCGAAGATCCACGGAATGATTTCCAGCTTCCCCATCGGCGAGAGGCTGGGGGAGTGGCAGGCCGTCCTGCAGAAGTAAGATCTACTTACATCCCCCACAGTACATCCCCATTAAAACTCATATAAATGTCATACGAATTAAAGTCATTCTTTTTTTTTATTGGAGCAGCCATTAGGTGTTCACAGAAATGTAAATCTCATTTACATCTCTGCTGCTATGTTATGCTGCTGCCATTAGATTCTTTTAAAGGGGAAAATCAGAAATAAGCTGAGAAGTTGGTGAATTTTGGATGTGAAAATTATAAAATCAATTTGAGTATTTTAATGATTTATTTAGTACACTTTCCTTCAGGTTGGAATTAATATACAAGAAGAGATGTTTTTTTTCTTCACATAAGGTCACATAAGGGACTGGCCCTCTGTTTTATTTTTAACCGTCTCCAAGCTTCAGGCATTTTTCTGGCTGAAAATTTGACTTATGAGAGTAGAGTTTATTAAAATATTTTTTTTCCTGTGGTTGAAACAATAGAAACACAAGTTTAGCCTTCTTCCTACATACCACAACCAGTTTGGATGTATGCCTGAGATCATTGTCCTGTTAAACTCCTGGCTATATCCCAGTTTCAACCATCCAGATATTAAGTTCATGTAAAGAAGGAGAGTTTAGAGGTAATCCTACATTTTCATTTAATTTATTTAGTTTGTGCAATGTACACATATCCCTGGCTAGTAAATGGCTACAGCAGCTTAAGAGTTGGTTCACTCCACTTGGGTATAAAAGCTTGACACCTCTAAAACTTCTTGTTGTGAACAAACAGCTTCTTTGTCCCTTCTGAACAATCGAGTTTGAAATTAATTTGTGAGCAATGGCTTTTTATTTTTTGGATGCATACATCTCTCAAGAATAACTTTTGGTTCTAACTATTGATGTCTTTTGTTTGTTTTTTCTATTTCAGTTGAATTTATAAAAATACCAGAAATAACAGTTTGAAAAACAGCAAATTCTGTTGCAGTATGGACCAAAATGATCAAAAATGACACTGAAAATTTGAGACAAGTGACCAAAACCAAGAACAATGGTCAGAAGTTATTCCGATGTACTCAGAGGACATTTAATAAGGAGGACTTTAAAAGATCATAAACTCTGGCTTTTTTAAAACAATCACACCTCCTGTAAATAAAGATCTATTTGCAGACAGGTTAAGAGATTAGTTTGCAAAAGATTTGAATAAAGATTTGTTGCATTTTTATTTAAAGGTTTTTTACATTATAAAAAGAACAGATACTAAACATTTGGACTATAGTGCTCCAACATTTTGATCAAGTTAAAACCTTTAAGACAATTAAAATTTTCACCTATATCTTTTACTTTTAATCGCGTCTTGTCTTGATGATCCACAACGTGTCCAAAATGTTATGCCTCTTTGTGTTGGACTTAGTATGGTGTCCAGCTACTTGGTGCATCATGGATATTGTGCAACTGCAACAGCGTTCGCCAGAGCCACAGAGACCACAATACAAGAGGACCAGTTGTCTATAAAGAACAGACAAAGTGAGTAAAACATCCAGCTCTTTGTTTCTCACAGTTCTGACCTCCAGCTGTGTGAACATTAACTCTGTTTTGTGGAGCAGGAATACAGAAGCTGGTTCTGGCAGGGCGGGTCGGGGAAGCCATCGAAGCCACTCAGCAGCTCTATCCGGGTCTGTTGGAACGCAACCCCAACCTGCTCTTCATGTTGAAGTAAGTCAGTATTTTAATTTGTTTAATCTGACAGGAAGGAGAGTGCTTTCAGCCTGGGGGGGTAACGTCCGAGTCTGACCTGGTAACCCCCGTTTACGCTGCCTTCTAGATGTCGGCAGTTTGTGGAGATGGTGAACGGCACAGACAGCGAGGTTTGCTGCCTGACGGTCCGCTCCCCAAAGTCCCAGGACAGTTACCCCGGTTCCCCCAGCCTTAGCCCGCGGCACCCAGCAAGCAGCACGCACATCCACAGTACTGGTACACAGAAAAAACAACACACACACACAAACAACCTACACACAGGGTGCTAAGACAATGAGGTGTGTGTTTCTGCCCCAAACAGGAGCAGACAGCCCCACCTGCAGTAACGGTGTCGCCACGCCCAACAAGGCAAAGATTCACAGCAGCAGCATTAAATACCCCAGCGCCTCCTCCTCTAACTCCTCCTCTACCTCCTCCTCCCCTTCCTCCATAAACTACTCTGAGTCCAACTCTTCGGACTCCACCAGGAGTCAGCCGCACAGCGCCAATAGCACCCAGGAAACCAGGTAACCATTGCCCCCCTGGGTGCAGGGCGGACCCCGCTTAGCAAACATTTAGTTACATTTTACTGCAGCTCCATGTTCTGCAGCAGATATTGATTGTTCCAGGGAAAACAACAGAACAAACCTAAAAGTGTTCATGCTGCTTTTTCTTTAGTCTATTTGTTAAAAATAAAAAATAACTAAATAACATTAAAAGATGAAATGGAAGTCAATGAAGAGTCACATGACTTCTCACTTTTAGCTACAAACAGACGTGGACCCACTGGGCCTGTGTAGGACTGGAGCCGTCTTCATCACAAAGTTTTATTCAGCAGACTTTTAAGCATCCGTTAGCCATCAAGTTCAGAACCTCCTACAGATATTTGATCAGGTGGCAGTGTTGCCTTTGGTTAGGAAGGTCATGGGGGTGATCCAGGCTTTCTATATGGAGTCTGGCTTCTGTGACATGCATGTCTGTTTGTTCTGTGATGAATTACTGACCAGTCAGACGTACCACACCAGACCCAATGACTGCTGCAGGGGGAGACCAGAACACACCACATGGATGGAGGGTGGGAGAATGGATGGGTGGAGGGAGGGAAGGATAGATGGACGGGTTGATTGACAGGTGGATGGACGGATAGTGCCTTGTTAGAGAATTCGCAAAATAGCTCAACCTATGTCAGGTTTTACAAAGAGCATCCCTGAACATCAAATGTCAAGTCTTTCCTTAGCTAAGTTAATGTCTTGGTTCTGAGTGGATCCATCACAGGATAAGGCTTTGATCTAAATCATTGTGCATCTCTGGCTTCATGTTTCGTCTCATTGTTTTGCCAGCAGATAAAACTTCTCTCCATCTGTTTATCTTTTAGGGTTCAGTCATTATCTTTTTAACTGTTTCCTACTTTACTGGCCCTATTAGAAAGAGAACATCCACACAGCATGGTGTCAGCTAGTTCATTTTATGCTGCCTTTTTATTTCCTCAGAAAAAAAAGACCTGTCATTCAGTAATGTAGTTTTCAAACAGACCAGATCAATGAGTGGATTAAATATTGGTTCTTCTGTTTAACTTAGGTTTGCTCAGTGCAGTTTTCAGGGCTGATGAAAATTGGGTAAATAGGGGAGAAACTGTCCTAGTCTCAAGTCTCTTTTAGCCTCTAACAGGTCTTCTTTGATGGGTTGACAGAGGTAAGGGTTAATGTCTCTGTCTGTCTCAGTTGTGTCCCCTGCTGTTGGTGGTTATGCTACATTCAGACCACACGCGATTTGAGCAGCAAAAACACCTGCTGCTTCATTTTTGATGCTTGTACACAATAAGGTCAGATGCGCCTCAAAAGCATCTTTGGTGCTCTTGAAGCGCTTCAGTAAAGTGTGTCCAGATTTGTCTGATGCGTCTGCTGCCCCTGTGTTCAATGGCAGAGTGGCTTTGCTATATTTGCTGTGATAAGTGTGTAAAAAGTCGTTTTAATATATTTTTATGCGAGAAAATCCGTCTGCATAGTCAGTTCATCAAGATTATGAACCTGCCTTAAAATATTATTTCTCTGCCGGAGCCACAAAGACCCCACATAGCAGTGGTGCGCTGTCACTGGGAATCCCCAGCATCAGCTGCCTCAGGTCTGGTTAGCTTGGGGGATTGAGGGATTTCCCCTACTGCTTGTGGTGGCTGAAGGAAGATGTTAGCATTTTTCAGGTATTTGGTACAAACTGCAAGCACCAGAATAATAAAAGTGAACATATTTTGCTGGCAGGTTTTGACATTTTAAGTTAATTTAATAAACTGTTTCAGTGATCATTGCGATCTGCATCAGCAGCACTCTGTCTGTCTCGCTGCCAGCTCCTGGATCAGCTGCTCTGATTGGTTGATGTGGCACGACGAGCAGCAAAAATTCAGTATCTGCTGATTGTGAAGCGTGTCGTGCGCCTTAGCTGCTTAGATGCATCAAGATGCGCTGTTCCTGCGGCTCGAGAAGCGATGCAGGAGCTTTTGATACGCCTTGATGCGCGTCAACAATAGACTTTGCATGTATACCAGCTGCTTCTGCTGCTTGAGGCACATGCGGTGTGAACGTACCATGACCTCGCCCAGCGGAGCCTCTCTTCAGTCTGTCAGCCATGGACAGCTTTGCCTACACTGTATTTGGCCATCATCATGGTTGGAATGTGCAAATGAATTGGTGTATATAGTGTAAAGCATTTGTTAAAACACGCTACAAATACAGACCATTCACCTTAACCATCATGCTCTCAGCTCCTTCTGTTTCCATAAATGGACAACTAACCAGCTTCGTGGTTCTACCTAAACACTGACTAAAGAAGGAGTATGAATTTTGAAAATATGGGGAAAAATATTGATTTGAATAGTTTTGCAGGGCACTGTAAACATAAGCATATGAGGAATACTAATATACCACATCATTGCCCAAAGCATCTCACTGAATTTTCCTATATCCACCATGGACTCAACCATCAACATTATTGAAAACGGACAGAAAGCAACAGAGCAATTTGACTTCCTCCATCTCTTTGTGGTCCACTTATGACGCCTGTTGTAGAAACATCCTTTTTCCATCAGAACCCACTTATTTCTTCCTGTGAGCTTAACAAGATCCATGATTTCCTTTGCTACTTGTTATCATCTATGATTCATGTTCCATAGTTTTTCAGTCAGAAAGCACCTTTGGTTGCCCCTGTCCTGTGGAATAAGAACCATCATTTAGTTATTAATGTTATTATTATGTAATGCTTCATAATAATTGCATAACTTATAGTGTTATATTTTGTATATTTTACCCACATATTTGGTAAAACAATTGTAAGAGCTTTAACCTGTTAAACATGACTCAAGCAGATCTGGTCCAGATCTGTGGACAGAAAAATGTTACTCCAGCCAAGCATCTTTCGTTTTCTGAAAGTTATCCCAGGTGTCATATGATATCTGCTGAATATATAACAAAAGTAAAAAACTGAGTCTGACGCGTTTGTGTTCTTACCAGTGACAGTGAGATGGAGATCGAAGCGGAGCATTACACCAATGGTGTCGTCGAAAGCTCGTCGGCCCGGATCATGAATGGCACGTACAGACATGAAGAGATCCTTCAGCCCGATGATAACAGCATCTGCAACGGTGTCACTGGAGCACAAAAACACTCTGGTCTGACTCGCTTTATGGGCTGATGTGTGTCTTTTGCATGTTGTGTGTAGCTGCACATCCTAATGCAGGGTTTGAATTTCCTGCAGATGGGAGCCGCAGTAATGGCAAACAGTTCTGTGGAGGGAACCAGGCAGCCACAGAGAGGATGATCCAGTTTGGGCGGGAGCTGCAGGCGCTCAGCGAACAACTGTGTCGCGACTATGGCACTAACACCACGCACAAGAAGATGTTACAGGTACACAAATTATCAGAGGGTCTGCCGAAGAAAGGAGGAAAACTTTAAAGATTTCTAGTATCGGCTGAAATCCAAACTCTCTTACCTGAACTTCAGAAAAAAAAAAAGAAATGATCAAGAAATTAACGCAGTATTACAAATCTGATCTAACATGGTTCAGGTATCCAATCTTTAGTTACTCAGCCTTTATATTTATTTAAGATATTGGGGGGAACAGTTCCTGTTCCAGATTAGAAAGATGAGGCAGATCTCACTCTTTAGGTGCCCCTGATGAGGTGGCATAAAAAGCTCCTAATAAATTGATCTTTACCTGTAGGAGCACAAGTTCACTCTGAAAAATTCACAAAAAATCTAACTTTACCTTTAGTTACAGAATATTACTGAACCAGGACAAAAATAAATACAAAGAACAATATAAGAATATACAACAACAAAATAAAAATGGGAAAAATACATACAAGAGCACAAAAATAGAAAAAGAAATACTTACGACTTATTGTTTCCACAAGATAAAAATGATTGTGGCTGTTTCTGAACATCTGTCCTAACCCCTATATGTAGGACTATATACTAGTATATGAATGTGGATGAAAAAGTGCTGGGCTTAAAATTTCCCACAATCCACCTTGAAAAGTACTTTGCATAGATGGTCACTAGATGAGCAAATATATCCCAGAATGCTTTGCAAGATCTCTCCTCGCAAAGGATCATGTTATGTCTTTTTTAGTAGTTAGCCTCTTTCTGAACGGTCAGTTAAATGAGTTTGCTATAAAATCCACTATGTAGTCCCTGCTCTATGTAGTGATTTAAGAATTAGGGCTGACGTTCAGACACAGCCAGTGTGGGTAAAAGGTGTGTTGCCCCAGTTACCAAAGTGAAAAAAATAAAGTTTTATTTTATGAATTATTTTAGGTTAAATTATTTTAGGTTGATCTGATTCCAAATTTAAGGTTAAAATCATTAATTTATTCACTGGGGAAAACATCCCAAGTTAGGTAATTGTTTTTAATTAGCTTTGAAATCATACTGTTGCTATGGGAATAATGAAAACAAATGTATTTCAAGGCTTTCTGGACAAGTGTTGGGGCATCAGTCAAAGGTTCTATGTAGAAATGTTAAAATGATACCATCGGCTGTCAAACAATCAGTGTGAAAATTTATCATATAGTGAAGTTCTGAATAAAAACCTAACCCTAGCTGCATAATGTGCTGAATTATGTGGGTCATTATAGTGTTATGACAGATATTCACCACTAGGGGGCAGATACAGCTCTCAGGAGCTGTCAGGATGTTAATTTTAAGCAAAGACATGGTTTTTGCAATCCATTTTTTACATCCTGCAATATTAACTGAGGCTCTTCTTTTAATTTTTGATGGATGAAATGATAATAAAATCCTTGTATTAGAATTTATTGTGTCTTTGACTTTGCAGCAATCTGTCATATCAGGCATGCATGAAGAAACAGGAAAAAGGAAAAATCCTCTTTTACAGGAAGAAACCTCCAGCAGAACCACACCCAGACTAAAGACTGCTGCGTACTCCAAGAAATATGACAATTTTGTTTTGCTTGCACACTTGCAAGAACAAATGACATAATTTTGTTCTGACAGACATGTCTTAGCGGTTCTTGTTGCTTGTTCTTGACACTGGGCAAATTTTTTTTCTTGGTCAGGATTTCGATGAGAGTTGTTAAGTTGGAACAGCAGAGATGATTTTTCCCCCTTTAGTTTCCAGGTTTGAAATCTGTAAAGTGAGTTGTAAGCTACAGTGGATGGGAGTGGCACATTAACAGAGTTGTTATGAGAGCTGATTGGCTGCAGGACTCCTTGAAGGAACAATCAGTGGAAAAAAGGCCAAATATAATAATTTAATGGGGAAATGTAACAGACCAGATCCTTGATGCCTCCTGTTTATCCCCTGCAGGCGGATACAGCAGCTGCAGCATGTGCTGTCATATGAACTAAAAACTCTTTCTGGTTGTCTGTGTATATTTAGGATGCATTTAGCCTGCTGGCGTACTCAGACCCCTGGAACTGCCCAGTGGGCCAGCAGTTGGACCCCACACAGAGAGAATCACTCTGCTCCGCTCTCAACAGCGCCATTCTGGGTAAACATTAAAAACAAACACACTTTGACTTTGTTTGAGTGTTTTCTCTCCACTGCTACCAGGAAAATGGCTCGTTTTGTCCCTGTGGTCGACAGCAAAGACCAAATGTCTTTATTTCATGATGAGGCGCTAAGCTTTGTGGAGGCTCACACAGACCTGGCCTTGGATAAAACTTATTATACTTTTTTGTTGGCAATATGAAAAAAAAAAAAAAAAACAGCGGATACTTTGAAGTATATTTAAACTTTTAATTTTGTAGTATCCTATTATTCCAAATGCAGTTTTAGATTAAACCTGTCTGCAAAGTTATCTAAATAGTTCTGTACTACTTCAGGGTTAAAATGATCAGAAATGCAATAAATACTGTCAATTTAGGTTAAAAAGAACATTTTATTGAAATAGAAATGTCTACTTAAAATCTAAAATGAATAAAACGATGAATAAAATATATATTATGATTTTATATTTTTTTATTGGCTTTCATTCATTTAATTTCCTTTCTATTATTCTACAGTCAATTCTTAATGTTAAAGGATAATTAGTATCAATATTAATAATTAATCAATTAGATACAAACACCCTGATGAAAATTACACTACGTTTTTACTTTAATAGTTTTTTAAATGTCTTTAAGTTTTTTAATTCATGTATTAATTTACTTTTATTCTTATTTTTCATTGTTTGTCATTGTATAATTTTTCATGTCTTATAATTCTGCTTCTCCCACCCCTTTTCACTACAAGTATGAAAATATAAAGTACAAGTAAAGTTAAACCTAAATTAACTGGTGTTTAGAATAAAAATCATAAAAAAAAAAGATTTAATCTTTTTGTTTAACTTAGTTTCAGCTCAGTTTCTGATTTGAATGAGGGCGTAGAAAAAGAAAGGAGATGCTGATCTAAAAAAACAAAACAGGATATATATCTGAAATTCATTTAGATTAGGGCCCCATCTAACAGATTCCTCATGCAGGAGTTTTCTTCACCTAAAACAGAACTTCCAGCAGGATAATAACATTTTCATTTGTTGATGCTTTGATTAAAACTTCAAGCATGCTGTCTGTCTGCTGCAGAGTCCCAGAACCTTCCCAAGCAGCCTCCGTTGATGCTGGCGCTTGGACAGGCCACAGAGTGCGTTCAGCTCATGGCTCGGGTTCGGTCCGGTTCCTGCTCCTTCGCCAGGATAGACAACTTTTTGCACTAGCCCTCGATCAGGTGAGCAGAATACAAAAATAAATAAATAAAAATTAAACCAAGATCCATGATAAGAGCTCCGGTCTTACCTGTCTATCCTCAGGTAAATCTTAAGCAGCACTGAGATGTCCAGCTGGTTGTTGTCAAGGCGACGAAGAGGCGAGCATGCATCTGATTGGAGCAGAGAAAGGAAGAAGGCTTCCTATTTAATTTAGTATTATCAGATTTAATAAATGTGTGACACTATTTAAAGATAATTATTATTATTATTCAGTTTATTTAGCCTTTTTTTTTTTTTTTTTTGTAGCATTTTTTTGTTTTTGTTTTTTGTCAGTTTTTTGTGCTTATCCCAGAAAAATTTATCATCTTCCCCCTTTTTTATTCTTTCTTTTGTTGGCCTTTGATTCCTATAGTCAGTTCTGTTGTTTTCATTTCCCATATCAACCCCAAACAAACCCATAAGATCCTGGATAGCATTTAGCACAAACTTGAGGAGCTTTAACTTTGAAGAGCCGTTGCTTTCTTCATAGGACTATCAACGTTCGGCTTCAATGTCATTATTAATTCAAGGTTTTAATGATGGATTCAAACTCTTCTTTTCCCACAGTGGAAGGATTTATCCAGTAGGATAAAACCATTTTGTACTCTGCAAAGATATTTGTTTAAGTGTGGCCAACAATATTAGAAAAATGTTGCTGCTATAAAGAAAAACAGAAACAAGTAAACACATTATTTTTAAGAATTGTCAAAGAAATTTGAGGGAAGTCAGCAAACTAAAATAGCATGAATCCTTTTTCCAAAAGGCATTTAATGGGATCTTCTTCAGGACCTCAATTTGTCCACATGAAATTCTCCTTCTTCGATCACCTCCTGAATATTTTGGATTTCATTTCTTCCTATTGGTCAATCCAGGCTGTGCCATCCAACTGAATTTGATGTTGATGTTGTTGAGGGGCCACAGTGGATCATAGATACAAGAAAACTAACAGCAAAAGGCCTTGGCTTTGTGAAGATCAGCACCACCCTTTTTCTAGCTATGTGTACATTTTTAAGCCAGTTGGATCAGAGGAATTTCCCAAAGTGTTGTTTTTAAAGCTAAATACAGTCGTTTAGTTGTATTGTTGTTCCACTTTAGAAAAAAAAAGGAGTAATTAAAAAGAATCATTGAAAGCGAAAAATGAACAATATGATTTCATCTAAGCTTCTGATACTTGGCTTTATAAGGAGACTCAATAAACCAAGAATGGAAGGGCTTTCATAAGCAATCTAAGCATGAATAACACCTGTTATTGTGTGGAGCTCCTCGTTAGCTGCAGCCCACACGGGTGAAATTATCCCTCCAAGTTTGAGGCAAAGATATTAAACCCTGGTTTTGTTTCTGATTAGATGTAATGTAACTTTGAGGGAATAGAGTGGCTATAGCTGGCAGGTTATTGGCCAAAAAACAGTTTTTCCTGAAATAGAACATCAGCCATCTTCAGAAAATGTGATTGAAGGTCCTCTGCTGTGGTATAACGCTAACCAAGAGCAGAGAGGTGTTGGAGGCTTAATTTTAGTGTAACAAGCTCTGCATCAGCCAATCAGAGATGTGGTTGCAGGTGGCGGAGCTGATCCCTGGCTGCACCTACGACACCTGCCCACGGGGCCGAGCCCTGCTCTATTATCAGCATAAAGAAAATCAGTATCAAAGGCAGGCTAACAAGCACAGTGTGTGCCCGTTGAAAAGTCAAGTTTCATTACTGCCTGCTTCTTTTTTTCCCCTCCACACTCTGACCTACTGGGTTCTCATGCAGTCACAGCTAGAATTTCAAATAAAGAGGTGAAATCATGTGACAAACAGGGAGGCCTGTAATTTCAAGGTGCACTTTGTGATGATTAAACCACAGCCTTTCTTTCACTTTGATTTCCACATTGGGCTTGGAGGGCTGGAAAAGCCTTTGTTCCAGAGGTCTGCTCATTTTCTGTGCAATAAGCTTTGTTTTTTTTCTACTTTACCTCTCCTCGTTGGGTGACACTCATCTACAAGTTAACCAACAGTTTTATCCTATACTTCCTCTTTTAAAGTCACTAGGTCCTTCAGCTGCCACCTCACATAGCGTCTGGTTGTTGCCCAGCTTGAATGAATTGGATAATTAGAGCAGATTTGATAAGTTTGTGGAAAGTGTGATTCTATCCGATAGTTATTAGTAGTCAGTGTTTAAATTCAAACAGACCAACGTCACAGCAATCTAAATTTGGAAAAATATAAATTTCATATGTAGTTGCAGTTTATTTTACTTTTAATCATACTATTGGGTGACAATCATAAAGTTTGTTTACGGTTATGTTTTTTTTACCCCAGCAAAGTGTGCACTAGCATGTCTCCTTATTTTAGAACCACCAAGAACGACTAGAGGAAGAAATTTGGTCCTGTTGTCTGAGGTGCCGAAACCCCGATAAGAAGTTAAAAAAAAAGGCTCCTTTGGGAATTATTACCTGTTTTATATGCTTTAGTAGAAAAAACATCTTTGCGGTAATTAATCCTTAACTTTCAGCAATTTTTTTCAGACTCCATACATGATATTGCTTTGTGTAGAAAAACCAAACACCAAGTATAAGTAATTTCTTTATGAAGGCAAAAAAAAAAAAATCTGTTTTATTTATGCAAAGTGTTTTCAATACAATATGTTTGCAATATACATCAACAGACTTGATGTCTAGATGTAGACTGGAAGCTGTTTGAAGTGAATTGATTAGTAAACTGACTTCATTAGAAATACAGGCGGTTTTGCGGCTGTTGATGCGAAATTCGGCGTCTGAAAAGGAGGAGCTCACTCCCAGTTTGCATCGTTGACAACCCGGTGACATTCAAGCTGATTACATCAGTATGAAATTTTTACTCTTTAAGAAACCAAAGCCTGATGTGCTGCAGGCTTTCATCCAGTGTAAGATTTTCCTCTGGTTCCTCTCCATTAGGTTCAGTGCAGGACAGGTGATTCTGAAAGGAATATTAAAGAACCTTACTGCAAAAGATCCAAATTAAGTAAAGCCTTATGAGTTCTAGAACATAAAAGATAATACATGTTCTTTAAAAAGCTCCATTTTAGCTGTTTTTTTTTTATTCCTTTCCCTTAATACCATCTCTTTTTTGACCTATATGTCAGAAGCATCCTGTGCTTCTGTTTCCAGAATAATGAAGCAGTTTTGTTTCCTATTTTCTTTCCTAACTCTGTTCTGTAATCACCATTCCACAAATAACTGGATGTTGTTAAACCTGCAACTCAGTCTCTGAAATCACCCCAGCGATCCAAAATAATTTTACATTTGTCAATCTGAGATGTTGAGCTTTCCACCAGGATCATTTCACATCCCTCCTCTGCTGTACTTGGAAGCTCCCTGATGTGCAGAGCTCCATGCCTCCAGCTGTATAACACGGTTGTACCCCTGCCTGTCCTCCATGTTTGAACTCTGACCCCTAACACCTCCACCTCCTGCGCAGAGAAACTGATCTGAAAATGCAGATGAGCTCTGCACAAATTACTTCTATCTTCATTTTATTATTTCTTTTGGGAACTTTTGAGTTTTACCTAAATATAAAGAAAATGTAAGAAAAAAAATTGTGAAATAAAATATCTACTTAGCATGACTTTTAAACTTTAAAACAATAAAAAAAAAAGGAAAAAAAAGATAATAAAAAAAAAAGTATTGGGAACATGTTTAAAAATAAATATTGTATTCTGTTTAATTTTGACAGAATTATTTTTATTAAAATACATCCATATGCATATGAAATGTGTCCTGTTGTTATTTGCTGTTTTAATTCAAGTGAAACACGTAATATAAATTATTTACTAACAAACTAAATTAAATTATAAGGATCTTCCTCTCGTCTCTAATGAAAATAATTAAAGCAACAAAGCACAATATTCGACCCAATAGCTGGCTTAAGCACTAAGCTAGCGATATAGTAAATGATTTTTTACAAACCCTTATATAAGTTGAGATAGTTGGATCCATCACTGAATTAGTCATGCGAGTCCCGCTTTACAGTACTGAGCTCCCCTTAAACAGCAGAACTAACCTGTTAAGGCTTCATTTCAGATCTGAGATTAAAGTCAGAATTCTGACTTTTTTCTCAGAATTCTGACTTTTTTCTCAGAATTCTGACTTTAATCTTAGAATTCTGACTTTTTTCTCAGAATTCTGACTTTTTTCTCAGAATTCTGACTTTTTTATTGTCAGAATTCAGTCAGAATTCTGAGATTAAAGTCAGAATTCTGAGATTGGCCCTAATCCTCTTCCGTAAGAAACGCCTCAAAAACCACCAAAAATAAGAAGTAAAACACTGATAAAATCCTACAAGCCAACAACAGCTGTGCAATTAGAGTGATAATCACAGCTATGCTAAATTGCCTCCAATGTAGATTTTCACATCAGTTGAAATCAATATTAAAGGTAGATCATCATCCACAACTTTCACTCAGGTTTTTTTTTTTTTTTTGTGGATTGCGATATGTTTATTCAAATTGGCCTTCCATCTATATTTCCGCCCACACACATCACAAAAGTAATATTTTTCTTTGTGGATTTGCATGTGTTTGTGTAAAGCTCCCTTCCATTTAAAATTCTCTCCACACTCATCACAACTGTAAAATTTTCTGTCTGTGTGGACTTGCATGTGTCTTTTTAAATGTTCCTTCTGGTTAAATTTCCACCCACACACATCACAAGAGAAAGGTTTCTCTCCCGTGTGGATTTGGAGGTGTCTGTTTAAATGTGCCACCCTGGTAAATCTCTGTCCACACACACCACAACTAAATGGTTTCTCTGCACTGTGGCTTCCCATGTGTGTGTTCAACGCAACCTTCTGGGTAAAACTCTGCCCACATTGATAGCACCAGAAAGGTTTTAGGCTATTGTGGATTAACATGTGTTTTTGTAAATTGTACTTATTTCTAGATTTGTGTGAACAGAGATCACAACTGAAAGGTTTCTCTTCTGTGTGGATTCTGATGTGTGATTTCAAATGTGCCTCTAATCTAAATCTCTTGCCACAATGATCACAAGAGAAAGGTTTATGTTCAATGTGGATATCCATATGCCTATTTCTACATACCTTAGTAGTAAACCCCCTTCCACATAGCTTGCAATGGAAAGGTTTCTGTCCTGTGTGGGCTAACATGTGTAAATCTAACTGTTTCTTTAAAAAAAAGCTATGTCCACATAATTCACAATAGAAAGGTCTGTGTCCAGCGTGGATGTGCATATGTTTTTTTCTACTTTGTTTAGTAGTAAACCTCCTTCCACATATATCACAGCAGAAAGGTTTCTGTTGGCTGTGGATTCTCTGATTGTTTTTACAGCTTTCTTTCGTTGTAGAGCAGTTTTTGTTATCCAGACAGCTTGAAGATGCAACTCCTGTCAAGTCTTCCTGAAGACATTGAGAGTGAACAAATTGTTCAGCACACTCAGAGGAGCTACATGGCTTGTCAGCAATGTTTCTGTCCAAATCCAGTGCTCTGTTTCCCTCCCAGTCATTGTGCATGTCCTTAGTCTTTAGTCTAGAGTCTGAAAAGTGTTTCTGCTCTGAGACATAGTGCTCCACATCACTGTTCTTTTCATTCTCTGGTGAAATAGGACCCTCTCTTTGACTTTGTGTGCTGATGGATTCTTCCCCTCGATCATTATTTCCTGTAAGCTCTCTGCCTTTAACTTGGTCTTGATAAAGCTGTAAAAACAGAGTAGACTTGTTATCATCTGAACTCTTTATGGGAGGAGCAGTAACGGGAAACGTGATGGCATCAATCTCCTCCTTCAAACTGTGCTGCTCTCCTCCCAGTCTGGTGTAGACATCCTCCGGTTCCTGCTTTATGCGGTGGAGCTGCAGGTCAAGCTGATCTGCAAAAGGTCTGTATTCCTCAGGGGCCTCTTCTTTAACCTTCAGCATCTGCTTGACATCTGAAAGAATCAGAGAAACACATGATATGTATTACTTTGACATTGTCTTGGACTGAGTAATTAATTAATTAATAAACACATTTTAGTTTGAATATTTCTTATAGGGGCGTTGACATAAAATCAGCTGGGTGCCTTAAGCAAAAATGCTCTTTGGCGCCTCTGTTGCGATATCCGTAAACATTGCGCTGCTGTGGGATGTCTAAACTGCCCTTCTTGGTCACATTTTAGCTTTGAAACCTTCAGACAGGAATCTGCTAGTTTCAGCATTTATTTGGTAGCTGGATTCTCACCAGGATTTTTTATAGGCATAGTGATTAGTAGTGATTAGTAGCGAATGCACAAAATCGAAAAGACTGAAAACTGGAGAAAAGATTTTTTTGTTGTTTAACATCTTATTTATTGTCTAAAATCCAATCCATAACAGACAGAATGGCCTGTAAACACATTTAAGAAAAAAAAGTTTGATAATTTTATAATATAATTAGTAATTATTGTATAATAATTTAAAAAAGTCTCTGGAATGGATTGGTTTTCTTTCTCTCTCAAGTTTAAGTAGATAAAATCTCTTCTGCTTCATGCCTGGCATCTTAACCTGTAAGTATGACTACTCACAGAATTTGTACTTTAATTTCAGAGTTCTGAACTTATTCTCAGAATTCTGAATTCTGCAGAATTCCAACTTTCATTTCAGTGGCTCCGAGGTCTGGTCAAATTCCAAGACTCCTCGTCGTTATGCGGCCAACAAATGCATCCTTCTTTTTGCCCGATTTGAAGGATGGGTCGGATGTATCCTGACTATCCTTGGTTTTCCCAGGATTCATTGCAAGACCAAGCTCCGTGATTAGAGGAAATGGTACTTGGCGCCTAACAGTGGTGAATGTTGGAAGTTCAGTTTAATAAAACAAGTGTGAATAGTTCCTTGAATAGTTTCATCTGAAATGAATGAAAAATAGTTGTTTTAATGGTTATTAAGTCAGATATGTGGAGGTAATGTTTGGTTTGTCTACAGGTTTTTATCTGTTACTGTGTAAATGGGTTTGGTTGGAATTTAAGGACAGATTCTAATATATCTGCAGTGTGGGGACTATAAATCTGATAGGATTTTTAACTTTTTATTGCTTTATTGTACAATTTGCTTAACTAAGTATTTTTTGTTGTTAAATATAAGATATTTTGCAGATATATTTTATATTTATACATTGTTTAGATTTACTTATATCTTTCTACACCTTTTTTAGAATAGAATAGAAAATCTCTTTATTGTCCCACAATGGGCAAATTTACTGCAGCAGAAAGATTATTGAAATGGTCACACAAATTTGGACCTTAGAAAAATGTATAAAGAATAACGAAATAGGGAAGAGTTAAAATAAAAACAATAAAATACTGTAAAGTGTTTTAACAATATAAAACTGTGCACCTGGAGAATAAATAACCAATATACAGCTATGGACATTTTTACAGTAATGGATATTTGAAAATGGCAGCAACATCAGAGATGTACAAAATGACAGTAGCTGTTGGAGGCTCAATGTGTTGCAGAATGGAATGGAAAGTGTTTATTTTGACAGATCAAAGTCCCATGCTGTCCTCAGTACAACATTACACGGTGCTTCACATTACACCAGACAATCCCAGATTTTTCCCAACTCTCATTCCATTTCAGGTTAATTTTATAGTCTTCACATCGCACTATGTAGATGTATGTGCATGACTGGATGCTCTGTCGAAATCTTCCTGGAATTCACCATGTAATGGCCAAGGCCAGAGGTTGGATGCCCTGTTGGAATCTCAGCTTATGACCTGTCAGCTGCTAGGAACCCTGTTTTTTCCAAGATTCGTACGTGACTTCCAGCATGCTGCATTCTCTGTGTTGCCAAGTGAGCATAAGGCCACGAATAAGACTACATAAGGCAGTAGGCCTTCAATTGCTTTCATACAGCATGTTATTTAACTGACTAAGGTTTATATCAATACATTTGTCACCTTTATTCCACTCTTTATTCACAGGAGTGAAACCTTTGTTTACTTTAAAATAAAAAATAAGAAAGAAAATGTAAAAGAAATAGTTTTTATTATTTTCCTGTTTTCGTGTCAACTGTAACGGTTGCTAAGCAACAGAACTGCGAGAAACAGAAAGGAGGGGTGAGGGGCTGAGTCTGCTTTTTTTTTTTTTTTTTTCCTAATCGTTTATTAAAACACGCGATCAAGAGGTCTGCCTACACCCTGACCGAGTAAACATTTCCTAAATAGGCACAGGCTGCAGTGCTACTACTTGGATGTGATGGGTGGATCTAACATCATTATAAAATTTCCAAACAACTATTAAAACAACGGAAACACATAAAGGTTGCAGCAGATTAGTTATTCTTCTCTATTTTTTACTCGATCGCCTCTTTAACAACTATAAGAAACTTTCTAAACTTCAAGAAACATGGAGTTGAACAAACCTAATCTGTGCAGCAGAACTTTTGGGTTGAAGTCAGCCTCTGGGATGCAGTGACGCAGATTATAATCCCGATCTTTCTCGCCAGTTGTTTCCCATTTCTCTCCAACCGCTGCATTTGGCTGGTAGGCAGGTTGTTTTTCTGGGGAACCGAACAGACATTTCATTTCTTCCTTTTGCTCTGTGAGTAACAAGAAGAGACGGTTAACTTCTCCTCTATCCACGCAATGTAACCCTCAACCAAGCGGGCGGAAAAACTCCTCCTCTTTTGAAAAAAAAAAAAAAAAAAACCAATAAACTTTATTAAGGAGACACATACGAAAGAGGATTAGGGCCACTGAAAAACAGTGAACTGATTTCAGTTTAATATGAGAGAAAAAAGTTAGAATTCTGACTTTAATCTCAGAATTCAGATTTTTTTCTCTCGGAATTCTGACTTTAAATCTCAGAATTCTGACTTTAATCTCACAATTTTTACTTTAAATCTCAGAATCCTGACTTTAATCTCAGAATTCTGACTTTAATCTCAGAATTCTGATTTTTCTCTCTCGGAATTCTGACTTTAAATCTCAGAATTCTGACTTTTTTCTCAGAATTGTGACTGTAATCTCAGAATTCTGACTTTAATCTCAGAATTCTGACTTTTTTCTCGGAATTCTGACTTTAATCTCAGAATACTGACTTTAAATCTTGGAATTCTGACTTTAATCTCAGTGTTCTGACTTTAAATCTCAGAATTCTGACTTTTTTCTTAGAATTCTGACTTTATTCTTAGAATCCTGACTTTAATCTCAGAATTCTGACTTTAAATCTCAGAATTCTGACTTTTGCATTGCCCTCTTGTGCAATGCAATAAAAGAAGAATAATACTTAGCGCAAGGGAGATTACAAACAAATTATAGTAGTTTACAGTTTTTTACAATTGCCATGACAGATTTTTCAATACTTTTAACAATCTTCCAAAACTCTTAACACAGTTAGCTGTACATCTGCATGTGTAATCTATACTATTAACACATTTCTTCTTGCTTTAACACATAATGCATGCAATTAACGCAAATTAAAAATGCTTGAACTCTTTTTACACACCAGCTCAAACAAGACCAAAACAGTAGAATTTTACAGCCAAATTTACCAATGCTTTAACGCTGCAGCAATTCTGTCTCTGTCTTTTGTTTCATAAAATGTACATTCTATAAAGCTACTTTCTGCAGCAAACGAAACAAAATGCATGTGCAAAAAACAGGTGTGTCCTTGTACAGTTACTGTCTATTGTATAAGGGCACACCTAACACATCTAAAATAATGCAGTTTCTGTAATTTCAGCTGATGATAGTGTTTTTTTGTCATTGTGTTATAATTGACTAAATGTCCCTGTTGGAATAAAACACTTGTTAGTGTTTTGATTAATTATTTGATTTTGAAACATGTTTTCAGTGTTTTGTTAGACATGGTGTGTTGTGTTAGTGTATTATTGGATTTTTTAAATTATTTTTGGAGTTTAGTTTACAATGTGTGAATTTGAGCATGAAATTAACCGTTTCGTCTATTGTGTGTTTTAGGTGTGTTGGTGCGTTAGGAGTTTAGGAAACCTGTTATAAATGTAGTGAAAACTGTGTCATAGCAATTTTAAAAAACTGTAATGTTTTAAACTTTTAATGTAATGTTTGACCTATTTTTTTTATGAAAATGGTGGATCTTCAAACAGCATAACATTATTTCTGGATGTACCATTTAAATAAAATATTTAAAATGATATTTTTAGCAGATGGGTTGTAAATAAAGCCAAACAATATATATATTGAAGCAAATGAGAATATCCAGTCCAATAGTAGTAAAAGGGGACAATGTCTTCCCATAATTAAATAAAAGGGCCCCTCTTATGTATAAGTTCATAAATTAAAATGTTTTCATATAGAAAGTCCAGCAGATATTTTTCTTGGACATCTTTTACAAATTAAATATTATTTTATTAATCATTTGGATTAAGTAACAAAATTAGCAGCTCTGTAGAATAAAATGAAAAAGCAGTTTGGGTTATCTATTGCTATTTTGGTCAGTTTTTGCCAGGACATTTCTACAAATAAAATATATTTTTTTTCATTTTATAATTCTAATTATTTACAAAATGAGCAGTCTGGAATAATAAAATGAAAATTTGGATTATTTTGTTTTTAATTTGCTTTATTGGTAAAGAAATGCAGCCTTGTTTTGAAAATGAAAAGGTATTTCTATTAATCAGAATTAGAAAACTGAGACACATTTGCTTCCAAATTTTAAAGAATGTAAAAGAAAAATCTAAAACAAAACTTGGCATATGTCAGCCTGTGAATGTGTTTAGAATTTCTAGAAATAAACAACTTAAAAAAAGTGCTATACGAGCTGAGATGCCTAATTAAACATAATCAAGATAGAGATTAAGTCGAGATTTCCCAGTTATTCAGGCTTAACTAAGCCTTATTTCGAGTCTTATGAATGCAGTAATAAGTATATCACCAAGGTGACTTGTTTTGTGTAGTCATCCTGCCCCTGATATGGTGATCTGCCACATTAACTCAACTCAATGCCTTTCTGCTCAGCGAGCACAGACAAAGATGACATGAAGATTTTCTTCCTAAAATGGGAAAGTGAAACAGAGGCTTCTTTTGCTAGATTGATGGGGATTCTGGCCCTGCACTCATCATCTAATGTTCTTATCTCTAGCGAAGCCTTTTTGTTTCTATTTTTATTTTTCATTTCCTATTTGAATTAGAATCAGAACCTAATCAAAAGAGTATGCTTTATTCTGCGAACATAGTTTGTAGTCTGACTCAATAGTGAACAGCTTCAGTCTGAGATCATCTTCTGCATTGAGCCTTCTTCTATATGTTGACGTCAAATAGAGGAATGCGAAGCGTTTCCTGCACATAAAACATTGTTGTAAAATCCAACAGAAAGTGCACAGTGATTGTAGAACGAGCAGGGAAAGCTTCTCACCTTGTCTCTGTATGCAGAGATCCAACAACATTAGTAAGGTAAAAGTGTTCACATATGCCTCTATCCCATCGGTCATTATGTTCAGGAAAGCAAGAAGACCAAGAAAGTTTTTACATGCAATCCTTGGAGAACAGCTGTTTCTGCCAAACAGCTCAATCTGTTTCCTTTCTAAGTGAGAGGTCATGCTGCAGGGAGAGGGATTGTTTCCAAGATCTATTCCTGTCTGCTTTCCCTCTGGTTGTGAAGAAAAACTCAACACCATATTAGACCAATTGGAAGGTTCTGAAGAAAACAGCTCCATCAACGTCTCTCTGCCAGGTCACGCCAACCTGTGCATGATTAGTTAAGTTTGAAAAAGTTACTGGAATTATTTACTGGAGTTATTTATGCAAGAAAAAACTGCCTTGTGGTCCAATGCTCACATCAGTGTTTTAGACCTCTCTATAAACGTCCAATTCTGCAGAGTATTTATAAGTAAAGAGCAGTATTTGGCACATTTTTTATTTTTTATTTTTAGAATCTCTGAGGAGAGCTGAGTAAATTAAATCGAGCTTTAGTACATCTTATTGCTTGGAAGAAAAAGCTGAGAAAATTAGAAATAAACTGTAGTCTTATTTTGGTTTTACTTTCTGGCTACGCCTGCAGACAGAGCTTTAACATAAGGTTAAACCTACAGTGTTAAAAGCTTTTTGTGAATAGGACACCCAGAGTAAAATCCTTGATCAGTTTTTTGAGGAAAAGAAAAAAAGGAAATGACTCATATACATGTACCAAAACAACTGTTGGAATTTCCAGTCTGTGTGCCAGAACTGATGCTTACAGCTTAACTGCAGTCGAAGAGTCCTTGCTATCCATTTTTTCTTTAGTGTTCATATGATTATATTATTTTAACCAAAAAAGAAAATTACAGAATCAAGATTTTTTGTCTAAAGTTTGTTTGATTCTAATTCAAATGTGAATCCTGTTTTCCTATTTGTGTATTAATGTCTCTAACATTTTTCTGTTTTGTGAAAAAAAAAAAACATTCTCTTTTCATTTAAGCATGAGCACGCAGAGGTGAGCTTGTAGTATGTTGTTTTAAATGTGAATCTGACATTAAAACAGCTTTTTTCCAAATCATTGCATGTTGAACTGATTAGTGCGCACCAAGACTGGACAAAGGATTGAAAAGTTACTTAGAAAATCTGTTAACATTAAAAAAGCTGAATATCTGCAGTTAATCATGAGAGCTTTAGTGGGTGCAGAGTAGCTAGTCATCTGTGGGTCTAAATTGTCTCTGAAAATAATTCACAAAAACAAGAGAAATAATTTTGAGAACTCACAGCAATGATGACAATAAAGTGATTAAGTTTGGAACATAAGTTATATCAAACTATGTAGTTTTTTTAGAGCCATTTTTTTTTATCTTTTGCAGAATTTGAGTTAATTTAAGAATGTAAGACTTATTTTGTTCATATTTAGTAATATATGAATGTATTTAGTTATATAGATGTTTTATTTAGATACTGTGGCGCATTTTGATGGGCTGCTGGTTTGGTGCTGGACTGTCAGGACACACGCAGAAGGTCAGAGCAGAAGCCTTAGGAGCATCACAGTCTTTTGACCCGCACATAGGAATATTATTTAGATGAGAAGTTAAGAATTTATCTTTAGTTTGTACATTTCTTAAGTTCACTAAAGAAATACATCAAACTCAAGTTTCTGATTCAAGACTTTTTATTTCTGTTATATGTCGCGTCTGAAAGAACTTCGAGGTCAAAGCTAGTGAGTCGTCTGCACTCACAGTAGTCAAATATTATATTTCACCTCGGTTTAGACTGTAAGTATTTTCTTTATGTCTACATGAACTTTGGAGCAAACAGAACATGCTACACACACAAATACACAAGGGGAGTGAGCCTGCCTTTTGCTTAGAGTAGATGAGAGAAATAGGAGCGGAGCCAGACAGAGGGAGGGACAGGGCTGGTTGTAGAGGGGACGGGGCCCCCGAGCTTTTAAAAAATATCAGTTAAAGGTATAGAGGATGATCTTTTATTTCCAGGTGGATAATCTAAATAAGTGTGTTTATGTAAGGCTGTACTACGTGGTTGTCCCGTTAGCTATCTTTTTTTGCATATGCGCACTTTCAGGCATATATCTGTGGTGAGCCATGGTTTCAGACAGTCCTTGAAGCTCACCTTTCTCACCACGGTTCTTTGAAAATGGCAGAGGGTCGTAAAAGTGTCTATGAAGTGTATGAGAAGAAAAGAAAGGCCTCGTCGCAAAGCATTATGGGATTT